GGGTTGAAGCACATCGAGATATTCCATTGGGAGCCAGGGATGGCGATGTAATAGAAACTTGATTATCCATTCAAGTGGCAAAAATTAAATGTTACCTAAAGGATTGTAAAAGGATATTAAAACTGAAGCAATGGGCTAATAGGAATAACATAGACCATATAAAAATAGGGTGAAAATAATTGTAAAAAGAAAAATAAAAAATCTTATAATCTTATAATAATTTAATATAACCACTTTTAATATGTAAATACTTATTATGTGATACAATGCAGTTAGTAGTCCATACAACTAAAAAGCTTCTTTCCATCATATGACTTGTTCATAAAAAATTAATACAAAATAACTAAATATAAATTAAATAAAAAAACATGTAATTCATATAATTAAACCCCAATTTTCTTTCCATGCTCCTACCCCAATCTTGTTTTTTATCTTGCATAAATATTCAAAATTGTTTATTTATACAAATATGTAATGTATGAATTCCATTCTCTAACAAAGAAAGTTGTTAATGGCATAGAGGGGAAGATTGACTTATAAATAGCCAACACTACAACAGCAACACACAATAGGATATACACAATAAAACTCACGAAGAACAAGTTAAAAACAAGATACTACTATTTCTTTAGAAGAATTGGATCCCCTAAAATAGAAAACTAATAGACATGTAATAATAATAAATTAAATTGTAAAGAGGAGGGAGATAACTTTTTTTTTTAGGTAAAGAAATGTAATATATTAATATTATTTTATAAATTATAATATATATAATCGGGCAGGGCCAAATGGGCAGGGCAGCATGTCCTGCCCGATACCCAGCCCTGCCCATGAAATGCCCAGCCCAAAGATGCCCATTCTTTTTCGGGCTGGGCTGGGCAATTTTTCTTCGGGCTCAGCGGGTATTTGGGCTTCATGCACACCCCCAATTGACAGGCTTAATGCGGCATAACCCCCAGTTAGATTTTGTTATTATTTATAATTTATAGTTTATATTTTTTTTTGCCAACATATTATTTATAATTTATAATATTTAATTATGTATTTTTAATATTTGTAATTTTTTTCAATTATACATTTTTATTAACAAAATTTTTGATAAAATTTCTAATTTTTAAAAATATATTTCAGTTATTAAATTACACCTCTTCCTATTGAAATAATTTAAATTCATCATATTATGTAAATTCATTTTTTATCATTTTTCATTATTTAATAAAAGTCATACTTTTTTGGTAATTTTACAAACTAAACTTATTTATTCAATTATAATCCAGATAACTTTCCTATTTTTACAAACTAACTTTTATAAAATTCAATCTAAACATAAATTACATTATCTAATCTAACTTTTCTAAAAATCAAATTGAAAATAAGCTACTTTTTCTATCACTAATCTAAATGGAACCATCATCGATGGATATGGCTTTTGCTTATGTACATATCTTTTCATTTCTCAGACCAATTAAATTATGTAATTTTTTCATTCTCTGTTCTTTCTTTTGATGCCAACTTTGGGGGTATTTGTACCCATGGGCAAAAATTACAAATCTATTTGTTTCCTGAATACAAATTGCAATTTGTTAGTAATGCGTGGAGGCTCAAGAAAGACAATTATAAGATTAGAATTCACACTAGCTATAACAACATGTAGCGATGCTGCTGATAAGAATTTAGATATTGAAGGAGTAGCTGATTCATCTACCAAAGTAACAATTTATTCTAGCACATATTCATTGAATTTCTTTGTTCTCAAAGAAAGAATCTTAGAGAAGATCTAAGATTGAAATATAATTCATGAAAAATAAGAAATTTTATTATGGCAGAAATTTATAATAATCACATACCTAAAGTGGCATTTCAAACTCATTTTTTTGATGTTTCTGTCAATTTCAACTTCTCTCCCCAAGACCAAAAAGACCTAGAGCATTTTTAATTTGATTTAGCTCCTTTAGCACACCCGTCACGTTCATCCTTTCTTTAGGAGATTGTACTGAACAAGCAAGTCCTATCTCAAACAGTGAAATTAGAGTCCTCTCATAGTTGGGATGCATATGAGCCACCTTCTATATCTTGATTTCTCCCCTAGCTATTGTTGTTGTTAGTGGTATTTGGTGGGGTAGAATAGCTGTGTCCATGATCTCTAAAAGATTATTTGGAAATACAGCTTTGACGTAGCTATGAAGATTGTGACCATCTTCAAATATTAGGTCTGTTGGTCTTTTTCTAGTTAACATTTCCAAAATAAGAATACCAAAAGAATACACATCACCTTCTATTGACACCTCAACTTATTCTGTACTCTGTAATAAGCATGTTAGATTATAGTAAATATTTAGAAACTTCATTGTCTTGAAAATAACAAAATAAAAAAGAAAAATATTTCATTAAAAAATGGAATTTAAAAGGGCTCCAAGCCAAAATAAAAAAAAATTGTACCTGGGGTAGCATAGCCAATTGTCCCTTTTATTCCAAATGCACTTGTTTGCTTTTGAGAATGGCCATTAAGTGTGGCAAGTAGTGTTGCTAACCCAGAGTCACTTACGTGAGCCACCATATTAGCATCAAGAAGGACATTGCTGGGCTTTAAGTCATAGTGGACAACTGGTTGCTCATTTTCATAATAAAGATAACGTAGTGCAAAAGCAACATCATCTATAACATTGAACCTTTGACAAATATTCAATGTTGATGAATATGCATGTTCTTGATTAGGGTGTAACCATTTTTCAAGACTTCTATTTGACATATATTCAAATACCAATGCCTTAAATTCTTGTCCCTTGTAATCAATGCTTGAGCAACATGTGAAAATTTGTACCAAATTTTGATGGCTTATGTTTTTTAATGGATTACATTTTGAAATGAAACTCTTTTGGGCTCCCTTCTTTTGAAGGTTCAATACCTTTATTGCTACAATTTTGTCTTCTAATTCTTACCTTCCTTTATATACTAAGCCATAACTCCCGAATCCAATCAAGTTGTTGGTAGAGAAACCTTCAGTTGCAATGTGTAGATTTTGATAAGAGACCTTTGAAAACTGTTCAATTCTAGGTGAAGTTGAAGATGATTTCTTGTTTCTTTCACGCCTCCAATAGAAGAGAAACAAAAATATCAATAACACAGAAAAAGCCACACAAATCACAATAACCATGGGCTTTAAATTGTGTTTTCCTTGCTTGTCAAGTTTCTTAGGGCATGGTGGTAAGTGTAACTCAAAAATACCGCCACAAAGATTGTTGTTTCCAGTCACTGATATTGCACTTGCATTGTTGAAAACCCCTTCTATTGGCACCTCACTGATAGCATACCAGGAGGTATTGAATATGGAGGTCATGAAGCCCAAATAGCACTCCTTTAGTTAGAAGCCCAACAAGCCCTCCAGAGTGTTCCAGGGACTTATAGCTCAAGAATACTTATGTGGAGGAGGACATGGATCATTCCTTAGATGATGAGATGGATACATACGGAGCTTAATGTGACATATAGAAGGCCGCCTTAAAAACTATCATGGTATATAAGTCATCAGAGTATGAATATTTGGACTTTGAGAAAGATAAGAGCACATTCTAAGAGACCAAAAAGAGCATTTGAAGCCAGTTTCCATGTTGTTGAAGGTCCAACACAATATTATATGCATGGAGGAGTCCATTAGAGCTATAATCTTTTAAATTGGGGCCCAAATGCATTGTGCTATGGACCATGGGAATTCGAAAACGTGATTCAACCACATTCAAGCCCAAATAGATGTCTAAAAGGCCCATTTATGCTTTTGGATGTGAATAGTAATGAAGGTCCATTTGGAAGATCCAAGAAGATTCAAGAAGTATCAAGAGTGATATTATTGACATTAATTAGGATTTTGTTTGTTTTGATTAGTTTCCTATTTTCAAATAGCAGACTTGTTCTTGAAGTTTAAGTTATTTCCTTTAATTTCTACGTAATAAATGATGCCTCTCATAGTCAAATAATCATTAATGAGGCATCATCCCCAGCATTTATGTCTTAAGATGCTGATTCTAGAGTGTTCTATGATTGCCTATATATAGGCTATATTTTTGTACTTAAAAGGAAGACTTAGATGAATGAGAATTGAGTTTATTTCTCTCTATGTGAGCTTTGCTTGCATCCTTGTGTTCTTGTGAGAATACTCGACAGTATCAAGGGATTGATCAACCTTATGGTGTCTTCATGGCTGGGGTTGTAAGAGAAAAATTCTCTTAAAGTCCTACCTAGATCAACTGTTGAGAAAGATAAGAGCACATTCTAAGAGACCAAAAAGAGCATTTGAAGCCAATTTCCATGTTGTTAAAGGCCCAACACAATATTATATGCATGGAGGAGTCCATTAGAGCTATAATCTTTTAAATTGGGGCCCAAATGCATTGTGCTATGGACCATGGGAATTCGAAAACGTGATTCAACCACATTCAAGCCCAAATAGATGTCTAAAAGGCCCATTTATGCTTTTGGATGTGAATAGTAATGAAGGTCCATTTGGAAGATCCAAGAAGATTCAAAAAGTATCAAGAGTGATATTATTGACATTAATTAGGATTTTGTTTGTTTTGATTAGTTTCCTATTTTACAGTTTCCTATTTTCAAATAGCAGACTTGTTCTTGAAGTTTAAGTTATTTCCTTTAATTTCTACGTAATAAATGATGCCTCTCATAGTCAAATAATCATTAATGAGGCATCATCCCCAGCATTTATGTCTTAAGATGCTGATTCTAGAGTGTTCTATGATTGCCTATATATAGACTATATTTTTGCACTTAAAAGGAAGACTTAGATGAATGAGAATTGAGTTTATTTCTCTCTATGTAAGCTTTGCTTGCATCCTTGTGTTCTTGTGAGAATACTCGACAGTATCAAGAGATTGATCAACCTTATGGTGTCTTCATGGCTGGGGTTGTAAGAGAAAAATTCTCTTAAAGTCCTACCTAGATCAACTGTTCGTTCGTTACTTGATTCTAGCCGGTCTGTACGTCCCCCCATATCACTCACCATTAGACATATTGAATAAAATGTTCAAGTATTGAAGAGAAGAAATGTTCTGTAGGTCGATTAGTATTGATCCAGATAGGTTGTTTTGAGGTATATCTAAATAAGTAAGACCTTTCATCAAAGTTAGCGAAGGAGGCATGGGCCCATTGAAGGAGTTCTTTTGTACGTTAAGGTATTCCATAATTGTGCACTCTCCTATGGTTGAAGGAATCTCTCCTGAGAGATTATTTTCAGACACATCCAAAGTGCCAAGGTTTTTAAGCTTTCCAACCTCAATAGGCAAAGATCCATTCAATGAGTTGTGAGATAAGTTTAACACAATAGACAAGGAGGGAAGACCAAAAACCCGCAAGGGTACAACTCCGTGGAAATTGTTTTCTGAAAGGTCTAAGCTTAGCAAACTCGTCATGTTTCCAATTGTGGTAGGAATTTTTCCCTCAACCATATTCCTTGAAATTGTTAACACAATCAATTCACTAAGGTTTTCTAAGGAAGGTGACGCCTCTCCTGAGAGTTGGTTTCCATCGAGACGTAATTCTTTTATCTCAAGCAAATTCCCAAAAGAAGTTGGAATAGTGCCTTAGAATTTGTTGTATTCAAGACCCAAGATGGTTAAACTTGTGTACTTTCCAAAAGTATTGGGAATAGTACCATATATTTGATTACCACCTAAGAATAGTTTAGTAATTTGGGCGGACAGATTTCCTATGGAGTTAGGTAAAATGCCTCCAAATTTGTTGTATCCCAAACCTAATATTCTAAGTTTGCTACAATTTTTCAAGGATGTCATGAAATCAAGGTCACTATATGAGTTGCTCCCAATATTATTAGATTCTATGCTTAGAAGGTAAAGATCTTTTAAGTTGCTAAGATTGGGAACTTCACCAAAAAGATGGTTTGAAGAAATATAAAAAAATTGGAGTGAAGATGCATTTGTGATGGAATTTGGTATTGGACCAGAAATTTGATTCATACCTATGGTTAAATGTTCCAGATTTGGAAGGGTGGAGAACATGTTATATGGAAGCTGAGTTATGTTCAAATGGTTTACTGCTAATGATATCACAGTGAGAGATGAAAGGTTGTAAAGTGAGGAAGGAAGAGCACCTGACAAAGTATTCACTGCTATTGCAAAAACTATCAAGTTCTTCAAATGGCCTATCTCCTCTGGTATGCTTCCTTCCAAGTTATTATAGGCCATGGCAAGGTAGGTGAGGGAAGTAAGATTCCATATAAACATTGGGATTTCTCCAGTTAAATTATTGATAGAAAGTTGTAACTATTCAAGCTTCTGAAGACCCCCTAGCTGATATGGTATTCTACCGGTAAGACTATTCCCTAACAAAAACAGGTACCCCAATTCAGTGCAACTCATCAAGTTCCAAGGAATGTCGCTGGAGAATGTGTTGTTTGAGAGAATGAGTGTGTTTAGCCTGAACAAACGTCCCAACTCTGTTGGCATTTCTCCATGAAAACTGTTGTCTGAGGGAGAGATATCTCAAGAAAGAGATATTCCCAACATGAGGCTGTATGATCCCACCAAGATGATGACTTGTCAAATTCAACTTGGTGACCCGCTGATGCTTGTGGCCGCATGTGATTCCAATCCACGTGCAGAAGTGGTTCGAACTATTCCAGGAGCTCAAGATTTCTTTAGGATCATGAGTTATTAATTCTTTAAACTTGAGCAATGCCAGATAGTCTGTCTCGTTTGATGCAGCTCCAACATGTTGGAAACAAAGCAAGTTGATGCAGATGAAGATGATAAGGATTAATGGTGGAAGGTAGTATTTGGAAAGAAATGAAAATGAAATAATGGAGGCAAAAGCCATGGTTATGCAGAAGAGCGTGAATGGTTTTGTGGATTCACATATATTGATATGGTGCTGCTTTAATATAAACAATCATGTGTATATATACCTTTTATAATATCAGTAGGGGTTAATAATTTTTGGCCCTTGAAATTTCAACCTATTTTTTGTTTTGGTCCCTCAAATTTTAAATCAGCAGTTTCAGTTTCTAAAATTTAGTTTATTTTAAAACGTTAGTCCCTGAAGGTATAACGATTGCTAAAATATGCTAAAGTGTCATCAATGATGTTAGAAGTGATAATGTTGACTCACTGGATGACATATAATTGGATCTTGTGTGGATAATAGAATGCAGTGCAGCGAACAGCTCCCGAAACAACCAGTGAAGAAGGAAAAAAAATGGGTTAAACAACTGGAATTTGAGAACCTGTTCTTTTTTAACACTTCTGTTATTCATATAAGATCTAGCTAAGTATTATTTGATGAGTCCACATCACCATTCAACATTGTTGTTTGACATTTCAGTAGATTTTAACACTGTTACACCTCTGGAGATTAATATTTTAAGACAGACTAAATTCGAAAGACTAAAATTATCATTTTTAAATTTGAGGGACTAAAACCAAAATAAACTCAAATTTCAGGAACAAAAAATTATATTAAACCTAAAAATAATAAATTTAGTCAAAGAGCAAGAAGAAGACAGATTTGAACAGAAGTAATAAACTAATCAATTAGAGTCAAAGAGCAAGAAAAAGACAGATTTGAACAGAAGTAATAAACTAATCAATTACTCAGAATCTGCATGTAATTAATTAATACTTGATATTATCTCATTGTATATGTGTACGTGATCCTAAAAAAGGCAAAAAACATACTAGGGTTTAGTCAACTCTTCTTCTCCTAATTAAAACAAGAATAGATATTAACTTTTTTGAATATGTAACTTTCAGGGAAGGTCATGGAGATTGGGAAATTCTCTGAACATTTGAATTTTTATATAAAATTAATTTGAAAATGATAAATTTTTAATCAAAACACGCAATTAAATTTTAAATATAGTACTAATTCGCCGTATTAGTTTGAATAACACGCAAACTATGATTGATTCATTCAGTCTTCAATTTATGCAGGGCAACAAAATATTAAGCTAAGCAATGGACGGGGATAAGGTCATCCATCTACAACTTACGCGGAAATAGACCAGGATCATAAAATAATAAAGTATGTGATAGGCTCATTCTAACTAACACTTCAAACATCACTTTCAAGAAAAATATAACCAGTAAGGGTTGAAATAAGTTCGGTTAGGCTTTAAATAACCAAAATACCCATCTTTAATTAAAAAGAGAAATTGATTATTTTATCCCTCCCAAATGGTTCACCTCTCTTATTATTTATATTTAGAAAAAAAACATATACATAATTTTTCTCTTTTTGAGATTTTGTATATATACACCTTCAAAATATTTTAATAAAACATTTTAAATTACAATATTAGTAGTTGTTAAATAAATATTTTTTATTTTCAGGTTATAAATATTTATTTTAATATTTTTAAATATTTTAATCACAAGAAATATTTAATATTAAGGTGTTATAATTTATGTTTTCGGTTGAATCCAGCATTGCTAATTAATAAAATAGACGTAGATAATAAAAAAATAAAAAATATTTATTTAAAGGCTACTTATATTTTTAATTTAACATTTTTTTCATTAAAATATTTTTAATGGTTCTAGTTATATATACAAATTTTAAACACGGTAAAACTACTTATACTTTTTTATCTTAAAAAACAATCATAAAATTGAGCTATCATTCGAGAGGGTTAAAGTAATCAATTTTTCTTTTTAAATAAGGAAGGGCATTTTAATTATTTAACAATATTAAAAAAATTTAATCGGGCCTCAAGCCATAATTAAGAAAAAAAATTTTAATCAGGCCTCAAGCCGTAATTAAGAATTTGATAAAAATATAGGCTTGAATTTGGATTTAGATATTTTGGCTGGATTTATTTGGGATTCTCCCAATTTTCTATCCTATAAAAAATATTAGAGGTAGTAAATAAGTTTATTATTTTCTTAGTATTGATGTCTAATTTAATTAAATAGGACAGTAAATGACTAAATGACCTCTATGTTGCACAAAATGGCTAGGAAAAAGGTTAAATCTGATTCAATCGCACTAGCCTAAACAAACTAACAGAAAGCATAACAGAGGAAAAGTGTGGAAAACAGAAGTTGATGATAATCTTATGGAGTTCAATTACTATTGAGGACTTAATATCCCGAAGCCCAAACCACCGATCATCAAAATCGCCGACTCTCCTATTCAAATTTCCCCTTTTAATGTGCGAGAGAAACTGGCGATGGGTGGAGATTTGAGTTCTAATTTTTTAGGTTTGATGACCCTGTTTTGATACAAGCATGGCCCAAAACAGGGGTACCCCAAAACAGAGTGAGACCAGAGATACCCATCCATCCACGTCTATATTTATTGCATACTCAAATTCTTGCTTGCTTAAAGTTTAACTTCTTTCTTCCAATTTGATTTTATAAGGTAATACACTACAAGACTTTAATCACATTTTCTATAATTAATTAAATCATATATATAGAGTTCCAGCAAAATAAATAAATGATACAGAGCGGCTTACACATCTGGTTCAGACTCTTAGCTGGGATGAACGATAGTGTAGTTTATGATATATATTGGATTTAATCCATATTAAGGAAGAAATATATATATCCCTCCTAATTGTTAAGTTGATTTGATTCTAGATATAAGACATATTTATTATATTTATCAGTTTTTTTCTAAATTACCTCTATTGATACTCCCTTAAACATAATCAAGTAAAAGAGAGAGGAAGTATATTAACGAAAATGATCATGGTGTTTTAAAAAAACATGTCATGTTTCTTATAATTAACTAATTTCTTGAACTCTCTTAATCTAATTAAATTAATTAAATATGTCTTATATTAAGAACCGGAGCATTGTGTGTATGCATGTATAAGGCATCTAAAGCTAACATTGTTAAGTCGGTGATTTCAGGTATTTCATTTAAGTAATTTGATGAGGATTTACCCAAACAGAGTAGTTTACGAGAAATTAATTTAATACTCTATTGAAATTTTTCTGAAATTTTAAGCTTGTCTTTTTTGTTTTTATTCCTATTAAATATATGCCACTTATGATCTCTTTGTAATAAATTTTCACTTATCATTTTTTATTGTGTTTTTAATTAAATTTAACTAACATTTTGAGCCATGTGATTTTAGTAGTTTTTTTCATTAAAAAACAGAGGAAGTATTTTTTTAATTGTAAGATTAAAATTTACATTATAGCATGTATCAATGTCGATAGATATTTAGACATTGAAGGAGTAGCTGCATGGTTCACGTACCAAAGTAACAATTTATTCTAGCACATTCATTGACATTTCTTTGCTCACAAAATAAGAGTCTCATAGAAGATTTGAGATCAAAATATAGTTCATGAAAAGCAAGGAACTTTCTTAGGGCAGAAATTTATCATAATAACATATCTAAAGTGGCGTCACAAGCTTATTCGTTGATGTTGCAGTCAATTTCTACTTCTTTTCCCAAGAGCATTTTTAATTTGATTTAGCTCCCTTAGTACACTCATCATGTCCATCCTTTCTTTAGGAGATTCCACTGAACAAGCAAGTCCAATTTCAAATAGTGAAATTAGAGTCTTTTCATGGTTGGGATGCACAAGGGTCAGCTCCTCCATCTTGATTTCTCCTGTAGCTACTGTTGTTGTCTGTTGTACTTGTTGACGGACAAGAGCTGCGTCTGCAATCTCCAAAAGATTGTTTGGAAATACAGCTTTGACGTAGCTATGAAGATTGTGGCCATCTTCAAACATTAGGTTGTTGGTCTTTTTCCAGTTAACATTTCTAAAATAAGAATACCAAAAGAATATACATCACCTTGTATTGATACCTCAGAGGTTATTCCATACTCTGAAAGGTGTTAGGATATGGTTAGTATTTAGAAATTCACTATGTTGAAACTAACAAAATAAAAAGAAAAATTCATAAAAGCAATGGAATTACAAGAACTTCAAGCTAAAATAAAATATGTCACCTGGAGGAGCATAGCCAACTGTCCCTTTTATTCCAGACGTGCTTATTTGCTTTCTAGAACTGCCATTAAGGGTGGCAAGTAGTCTTGCTAACCCAAAATCACTCACATGAGCCACCATATCATCATCAAGAAGGACATTGCTGGGCTTTAAGTCACAATGGACTACTGGTTCCTCATTTTCATAATAAAGGTAATGCAATGCAGAGGCAACATCATATAGAACATTAAATCTTTGACAAATATCCAATGCTGAATGATATGAACTTTCTTGAT